TGATATGAGTCGCCATCGACATTCTCTAACGATGGTCTTTACTTCACTGTAGACGAACGGAATATAAAAATGTTGATATGTCTGAAATGATATAAATAAGATTGGAAGAAGCGAACTAGCAATTAAGAAGCAAGTATATATATACCATGAAGTCACATGTGATCATAACCATTGTGGAATGAAATAGACAGTATATATGAATCATGAATTCATATCTTATTTACAAATACATACTTAAGACATGCCAAAAATAGTGGCGGTCGCATCTCAATTTCGTATCAAAGACTTGGAAGAACTTTTTCTCTATTTTGTTTAATAGAGAATAGATAAATATCTAAATGTTGTTTTTACAAAATATCTATTATGATAAACTTATAAATCATCTAGATATTTTATCGAAAAAGATTTTTTTAAATATTTTTCTCAAAAAATGTAAAAATTACATAGTTCGATCAATTAACTATATATAAGTTTGTCGTAAATACCATCGATTTACTAAGAGAGGTCGGAACTTTCTACTCATCCTTTATTTGATTATACTTCAACTATAATAATAGAATTTCGATAAGAATTGTTTTTGTTGAAACTTAACTAATGTGTGAGGCAGATTATATGTTTCAGTCACGTAATACATTGTATTAAACGGCGAAATATACCGCAAGATGCAGCGTGAAAAGCTCGACAATTTTTATATAAGACCACTTATTTTACAGCAGGGTAATGCTGTGATTTTAAACAGCAACAATAACAAATTTTATATCAAATGGACACATCTTGAATTACCTGCCAAAATGCATGTATACTTTACGATTTTCATTCTTCATGTACATATTTTCACAAAAAATAATAGTAGATTCGTAATCTCCATCAAAAATTGTGTAGAGTAATGTATAAATGGAAATATTTTAGTTTAAAAATGCTTAAAACTTTTTTATCTGAGGTGCATCCAGGGTACCACCAGTATTTTTTCGAAAAATTCTTTTTTCGTCAAATATACTCAAATGACATTTTTATAGATTCAATTTTTGATGGAGATTACGAATCTGCTATTATTTTTTGTGAAAAAATTGTATATGAAGAATGAAAATCGTAAAGTATGCGTGCATTTTGACATATAATTCAAGATGTGTCCATTTGCTATAAAATTTGTTATTGTTGATGTTTAAAATCACAGCATTACCCTGCTGGAAAAACATTTTTACACATTCCTGTACAATCTAGAGAGTAAAGCTTGTTTGAATTGTGTATTTCTTGTTCTCAAAAAAAGCAAAATTCTGTGCGACCAATTTTCACTGCCCTAAAAAAAATGATTTTTTTCTACATGAAGAAAAATTTCTTTTTTCTTATTTCATATATAAAATAAACTGTTCTTTATAAACTGTAGAGCTTCTCACGCTGCATCTTTTGGTATGCTTGGTTTCTTAATACAACGTATTAATCGATGGAAAATTGAACGGTAAAGTTTAGATATTTAATCTACCTTACCCATTAGTTAAGTTTCAACAAAAATAGTTCTTGTCGAAATTTCATTATTATAATATTAGTTGAAGTATTATCAAATAGCATAAAAATATAGAGAGAAAGTTTCTCCAAGCCTTCTATACAAAATTGAGAGGCGACCATCACTACTTCTGGTATGTCCTAAGTTTATGAATAGAATGCTTCCTGTATAAATGATATACTTATATGAAAAACCAAATCGCATAAAATATATTGTGTATATATTTACAAAGTTTTCCTAATTTCTGAAAATTTTTTCTTTTAAAAAAACCTTAAAGGATATTTTTTCTATAAAACTGTATTGTTTTCAATTTTAAATACTGCCAATATTTCAGAATTTATTATTTGTTTATTATATTTTATTAAATAGTATGCATTTATTTTGTCTTTCTTTTTGGTTGTGTAATAAAAGTATTGGAAGAGATTTCCGATAGTGATTTTCAGAAACCAAAATAGACAAATTCATTAAGATATTTCAATAAATCTCAAGAAAATTTGCTTCCGATCAGAGAACAAAATCATAATTGAATTGAATGAAAACTTGTTAAACAGTTCATCATTTCTATCAATAGATTAATATTTTCATGAACATAATCATTTTTCTATGTCATCAAGTACGAATATTATGTGAAGCATAAAAAACTACAGTAATATATATAATGCACTAATTAATGTCCTTAACAAAAAGATTTGAAAAAAACTTGAAAATTGTTCAACATTAACAATTTTTTAAACTAGATCAATTTTGTAGGTGATGTTAGTAAAAAATTTTGTTGTGGACACATAATCCATGCCCATATAAATATTTTTTGTATCAAACCGTGTCTGAACTGCATTTCGTTTGTATCTAGACGTGGTTCGAAATAAAATCGCGTCTAGACTCAAAACTATGGTATGGGTGCAGATGTGGATATGAGCGATCACAAGATTGATATCCACAGCCACACCCTTTAAGTTTGCCTGATACATCAATATAGACAGCACTTTTTTGTGATTTTTCTACAGACTATGTTTTGATCTATAAATGAGTCGTTGTAATGAGTAGTTTCAAGTAGGATTATGATCCATAAGAGTATGAAACACAAACAACTGTATTTTGTTTTGTAGTCTCTTTTGTGTTTCATTCTTCCAACATGGAAATATGTCTCTATTCATAGGGATTCTGTTTCTTCAAACTTAATAGAGCGTGAAACAGATAGCTATTTAGAAAGAAAAAAAGGACGTCGTATTATATCTATAAAGAATGCTTTATTCACTCAAATTTACAAATATTACTTCATTATCTTTAATCTTTGGCTTAATTTTCTAATTTATTTAAGCAAACTTTTAAATTTGTAACCTCTTGAGTTTCAATTGAAGAAAGTTCGAACTTTACTTTTCTACAGAGTATAAAATAACATAATTCTTACCTCTGGTTGACCAGTGTTCATCACTCCCAGGACGTAATATAATTGGTATTACTGTAGAGTTTGTAATCAAAGTTGTAGATGGCGATGACACCTGCTTTTTTCTCATCAAGATATATATAGATGTACTCATAAATGAGATAACGAGCAAGAGTTCTAAGCTTGCACTAATTCCTAGAATCATTTTATTTCGACGTGTTCGGTCATGTCTATTGTATTTAATGAGAGCAGAATCGTCGGGTGAAACATCTACGCCATTGAAATCCATTTATAAAATTCTAAGATACAACGCAAAAAACAGATTTTGTAAATATTCGATTGATTGTGTTTAATGTGTGTCCATCATTTACATGAGTAGTCATGCGAGAAGTGAATGTTGATACGGTCTTATAGTCATTCTCCTTGATTTCGTTTTTTTTTCCTTCACTCCATTTATAAGTGATGAATATTAGTTAGTTTCTAGATATTAACATATGATAACAACCAGCACATTTTTTTTTACAAGTCAATATATTTTCTTAACAAGAGAGTCACACTTCCAACATAAAAAATATTACGCTTTCGTATTTTGTTTACATCTCAGTAATTTTGGTACTGAAAAATTAAATTTTTTTATCCGATAAGTAGAATAGTTTACTTTTATTTTTAGCCTTCTGGTCTGAGTTCATAGGATTTAAATGATCATAAACTAAGTCTTCGACTAGTATACCTCGATATTTATTGAATACAAATGAAGAAAAGTGTATTTTTGTGAAATAACTTCTAGAAAAGTTTTCAGTCTAGTCCGATAAGAGTAAATGAAGATAGTAGGCAGGATGATGAGGCTCTATGAACAACACAGACGATTTACTCAAAAACTACTGACATTCTCTTAAGAAATTTTTTTGCTAAAAGCAAGTCTTGTCTTTTTTCGATATTCTATTTATGATGAAAATTTCAGTGCAATCAATTGTGTTCTAGCTGAAAAAAGAGAAATAATCAAAAAAAAAAAAGGAAGAAAAAGGAAGTATCCTTGAAGCAACTCTATTGTATTTGCCGCTTTAATCAAGTAAAGATTATGCACAAAGCTTATACTTTTACAAGATCTTAAGTTTTCTAGTAACATGTTTTAAATAGAGAAAAAAAAGATATTGTTGGAACTTTCACAAGAGTATTTTTCACATGCAAATTATTATTTTCGTCAAATAATACTTAACGATGCATCTTCTTTAGAAAAAAATGTCAAGCTTTATTTTTCTCACAGAAACTTCTTCCAATACGAAACAAATATAAAAGATGATATATTTCTTCAGCAATTCTCTTTATAGAGTATTTCAAATGGATAATTCGAATAGTAAAAGTGTAACTAGTGAACAAACGACATATAATATGATAAAATCAACAAACTCTATTCCACTAAGATATTATTAATTCATTACATACAAGATTATTACTACTAGAAGTCAATAATAGTTATTGTTTATTTTTTTGATGAAATTCAACAATGTTTAAATGAAATTAAAACAATAACTAGTGAAAATAAACTATTCTAAATTGTTGTATCTGGATCATTTGCTAATGAAATTCTATTGGAAATAGAAAAATATTTCAATAATTGTATTTTGTGAATATTATAATTGATATATTCATTTCAAACATACATGTTTATACAGAGTATGAAACTTTAAAAGATTCTATAAAAAAAGAATTAGTATTCTTAACATCAAATTTATTAAATCATCCAATTTTAAAATTAATGAGACCATTGAATTCATTAAATGACTTTTGTATAAATAATACTTATTTTTCATATGCTGTATTCATTGAATTAATCACATAAATGCAACAAACAAAACGTTCAATGGGCCCTATGTTAAATAGATGTAGAGATTTTCATCGTGATAATAAAAAACATATACATCGAATGAAGCAATTGATTAGTAAGTTGAAGATTCTTTTCTTTATAGAGTAGTTCATAGAACTTTTCGAACAGAAGATGTAACATTATGGTAGTTATTTCGTTATTATATCAGTGATCTACACAAACAATTGGAACAAGTTCATAAACAATAAAATATTCAAACAAATTTAAAACTTTATTGTGGTCAATCTTGTATGTCAATAGATGAATTAGAATATTTGAAATCAAATATTGGTGGTTCATTTTCAACAAATGGATTTCTTTCTACATCAAAAAATTGTCATGTTGCTGGATCATTTTTCAGTGGTGCTGCTGATACTAATCAATCAAAACCTTTTGTTTTTGAAATAACTGTCAATGGATCTAATCTTCAAAATACGATTTTTGTTGATATTGGCACATATAATGGTTGTTATAATGAACTTGAAATCTTATTTAATATTGGAACAATTTTTAAAATTGAAAATATTTGTTAAAATGCAGACCTGAAAATACATATGATTCAGATGAAAGCAACTGATGAAGTAAAAGATAAAATTAAAGAAAAAATTGAAACAATGACAAAAAAATTTCAAAATAATAATATTAATCTAGTATTTGGCCAGTTGTTACTCGATATAAATCAATATGAGAAAATCGAGTCTTATTTTCAAAGATTATTACAAGTCTTACCAGAAATACATTGAAGATCAAGCTTCAATCTATGAGTATATCGATACTCTAAATATGCGAATAACTAATTGGAAGGAAGCATTGAAAAATTTTAATTTAGTATATGAATTAAAAAAGAAAAAATTACATTTAAATCGTCGAAAAATAGGTCGAACATTGAATTGTATCGGTAATTATTATAAAGTAATGGGAGATTATTTTCGAGCAATGAAATTTCATAAAAAACCTTTACAATGTGGGTGTGGGTGTAAGGTTTGGATACTGTAGTCAACCAAACACACTAACACCCACACCCCCAAATTTCTTGCTTGACTTCGTCCTTGAACTCTATGTTCAAATAATTGATTGACAGAGTTGCCAAAGAAAAAATCTCTTTCAACACAATCAGGTCTTTGGAAGAGAGCTCTAAAGATCATAGTGATACAAGTGTGAACAGAATAAGATCATTGCCATTCATTTAATGGCATATTTCTATGCTCAATATGTTTTATATACAAAAATATGTATGCTTAAATGTTTATCTTTTCGCAGTGATTGCTCTTAACTTCCAGCTATGATACATATAAGAGGGTATTAAATGGTAAGAAAAAGTGAAGGCGAACTTTTTCTCATCTATATTTATGCAATAATTTTTTTTAATAGTTATTTCAGCTTTTCTTCATTCAGTTCTTTATGCGCATCTTTCTTTCTCTATAAATGAATACATGATATACAGGAGAAACGTTTCGAAATTTTATTTAAATTGAAGGTCAATAGTAGAAATATTAGTCCAAATGTTAAAACATTCATTCCCTAGCGGACTTATTTATGAATGAAAATTGTCAAAGTCTTGCCAAAATAATTTTGAATTCCAACAGTGGTCTGCTTGCGAGTTCCACCTTTGGGTGAGTGTCATATGATCTGAAAGAGATCATGTCAACTATCAAATGTGTTTACATCATCATCAGATTTTCGTTCATTATCAACAGCATCGCATCGATGAGACATGGGTCGATTTTGGAATGAATTTGATTTTTTAGTTGACTTAACATGAAACTGTATAGGATTATCTTTGATTGTTGTTGTTATGTTCGTCAGCAAGATATTTTTCTGGTATTCGAGACCATTGGGTGGTAGTCGTTATTGTGTACGATATTCAGTATTGTGAGGCAAAGATATCTGCGACGAGAGAAATAATCGACGTTGAGTATTGATGAACATACGCATGCGACGACCGTTCTGTTGTTGTCCAACGACGAAAACAGACAGGACATTTGATTGTCGTTTACCACTGGCGTCGTTGTTTTTTTGATAAGAGTTTCGTCTCATTTTTCCAGCATGTAGGTGTCCTGACGGCTTGCATTGGTCAAGAATGAAGATCACTGTGTTTTTAAAATAAGAATGAATATTCTACACTTATTTCAGTAGTATTTTATACAAAAAAAGAGCAAATAAAATTCGAACACTTGAAGATAAAAACATTCATACATATTCTTCTGTTTTATAGCCATGTATCATAAACATAGTCCAGGTGCTTTTTATAGTATGATATGTAACTTTAAATTACGAGTGAGTCAGATAAAATTACTGTTTTTTTTATAATCTGTTTCTTTGACTTAGATTAAATCAGAAACTTTCGTTCTGTTTTATTAATATATTATCTTTCAAATGAACATTTGCAGTTTGTTGTAGCTTTGAAAGTACTGGTTACAACAAAAAAATGTGCTTTGCTGTTTTCTATTTCTTCAAAGAGAAATAACTTAGTATGCACGAATCGACATACTGCTAGACATAAGAATTTGTTATATCATAATATCAATGATAAATTTTTCATTGAACTAGAGTAGATAAAAATTGATCATCAAAATTTTCTGATTTAGTGGTTGAGCAAGTAATGTTTTTGTACTATTTGATACCATGAATTCTCAAAGAAAAAATATGACAGATGCTGATTTTAAAAAAAATGTACATCAATGAAATCTTCAAAAAATTTGTCTATCTTGTGATATCAAAACGAAACTTTTCGTCTAGTGTAAATCTCGTTTCCACTTTTAACTGTTTTTCATTACGAAATTGAGGTCTAAACTAAATATTCGTCATTATTGGACTTTGACCGTACTTTAAATCATTAATAAATGAATGTCGTAGAAAAGCAAAGTCATAAAGCAATTCTGAATCCATCATACATAAGTGGTATGACATCAAAGTGATTATTATCAATTATTTTATTATTTACTTGTGAGTTTGATCATAAAAACATTTGTATTACATGTTTCATAATCATCCAACTGAGCCTTCAATTCCATTTCTTTTAGTCACTTCCGCTCTTCTTCTTGTACTTTGTTTGTTCTTTGTTATCATACATACTCAGAGAGTTTCCTCATTAGAAAAAAAAAACAATAGGTAGCGAATGGAGTGTAATCGCGCGGAGATATTTTCTCGCTTGGTACCGTCATTTTAAATTATAAAATGCTCATATATATCACTTGAACTGTGTGAAGGTTGTGGGAGTTTTTTTTTTTGGTGCAAACTTTCGAAATACCCCGATACTACTCAGATATTGGTGATGGAATAGTTGAAAGTAGCATTCAATTCTAACTCGTACGAATAGGTCTTCTTAATGTGGTAGTCGAAGATTAAGAATGCTTTTTATTAGCATTCTTGTTCGTTACTCTGTATAGCAAAGCTTCAAAAATATCCTTTCGCAATGACACTGAAGTATCATGCTATTGTTGTTAAACAATGTTAATACAACTCCGTTTCAATCGCATATTGATCTCATGAAGTGTTTTTGGTAACTAAGAGAAAAAAGAATTATTGTTGACAGTGGAGAAAATGCGCCATTCGCCGATTGCTTTGAGAATCTTTACAACTCTAGTAAGAGAAACTACTTAAAGATACCGTGCGCAAACACATTGTCATGGAGAATGTGGATGTTGTTCTGTTATTCAACAACACAGCTATATGCATACACCCACACCCAGCTTTAAAAAGAAGGTTTAGAGAGCTTCTAAACCAAAAAAGAATTTTTCCCCGGGTACGCAGGAAGAGCCTTTAATTCTGAACCTTTTTTAGGTTTCATAGGGAAGAAAAAGGTTTTGTAGAAAAACTACAAAACGTTGGAGGTTCAACAATTCACCTTGAGAGTTTAATACAAAACCTTCAAAAATTTTAACTAAACTCCGAAGGCTTTGTAGTTGGGTGTGGGTGGAGGTGTGAGTAGGAGTGTAAGTGTGAGGTGTGGGGTGTGGGTGTAGGTATAGATCTTGTCTTCATCCACACCCACATCCACATTCACACCCATACCCACACCCCATCCACACCCACCCACACCCACACCCACACACCCTCACCCACCCACACCACCCACACCCACACCCTACATCCCACATCTACACTCACACCCACGTCAGTCCACCCTTACTTGCGGAAGAAAAACTAAAATGCACGGCACTTACGTTACCGTCTTACCCACTCTTTCCTATCACATTCTACACTACTTAATGGATTACGTGTGAGCGGTGTTCTTACCAAAGTTTTCAGGGCTACACTTAAAGACCCTAGAAGACCAATGATAAATAGCGCTAGATATCTCTTGAACAGTGAGCGTTACACGACACGTCTCAACCGGATAGCCATTCAAGAGTAACCAGAACTACACCGAGACAGTCCTTGGAGAATTAACAATACTAAATTTCGCTAGCTATTGATGTCTTATGGGTACGCCTATACGATAGCCTCGAGGACCCATAGTACTCCCATAGGATAGGTCTTAAGAACCAATAGGTACTTCCATAGGATAGTCCTTGAGGACCCATGGTTATTCCCATAGGATAGGGCCTTCAGGGCCTATGGTTACTCTCATAGGATAGACCTTGAAGACTTATAGGTACCCCCATAGAATAGGCCTTGAGGTAAAATGTGGACTCCAAATGACGGTAAAATATGGATGCGTAAGTGGGCTCCAAATTTGGAGTTAACGCAGTTTGAAGCTCACTTTTTTGGCCTTTGACATTATGTCTGCTGAGGAAAAATTGTTTCGCTATAATTCAACCAAAGCAGGTCGAATCTTGGCATTTTTTTAAAGATGATATAGTACTTAATGAGATCTTTCTGCCGCTGAAAGAATCAGATCTCTACCTAGAAAGACAGCTGAGTTAAAACAAAAACCAAAATGTCTTAAAATGATGTACTCCTCTTTATACAAAGGTTTCGCCATGTCGAAAGCCATTTGATAGGCATAATTTGTTTATTTTGTATAGCTGATGGCTGCATCTAACAAAAGCTGTTAGCGCAATCCGTTGCGGGATTAAAAATGTGAAACACGATGTAGCTGCTATAGCCGATGTTCTAAAAGCTGTTGCTTTTTATGCATACTGATGTACATTTCTTCATAATGGCTTACCATATATTATAGACTTTCAAATGGATAATACTCTATATGTGCTTCAATCATATGTGAATTATGCATCATCTCTGATATTTCCTTAAAGTCTTCTATCATAGTCTATAATGACCACTGAGTCCTGTCTGTTACGGTCTGTGATGGATCCAAAATCTGTCTGTGATAGGCCCAAAGCCCTGTCTGTCGCGGTCTGTGATGAGTCCAGACCCCGTCTGTCGCGGTCTGCGACGGATTCAGAGCCCTGTCTGTCACGGTCTGTGATGGATCGAAAACCTGTCTATCGCGGTCTGTGATGGATCCAGATCCCGTCTGTCACGGCCTGTGACAGGCCCAGAGCCCTGTCTGTCACCGTCTGTGACTAGTCCAGAGACCTGTCTGTTACGGTCTGTGACGGGTTCAAAGCCTGTCTGTCACGGTCTG